TAACACCAGGTGCGACTCCGGTAGTTCCCACTCGAGCAGCCACTCCGCGGTCGGCGAGGAACAAACCGCACGAAGGAATTACAAATTCCGTGATGCCGGAATGTAAGACTCCTTTCAAGCTGATGATGGGGGCATCCAATGCCATGGGGAGGCTGTACGTGCAGGAGATGGCCGGGAGCCAGCAGCCGGAGCTCCATCCCGTGTATCCCAGGCAGAGGTTGGGGAGCAGCGAGCTGGGGCAGAAGTCTCCGTACCGGGGCAGCCACGGCGGGATGCCCAGCCCGGCTTCCTCGGGATCGCAGATCTACGGCGACGGCTCCATCTCCCCCAGGACTGACCCGCTGGGGAGCCCCGACGTCTTCACCAGGAGCAATCCCGCTTTCCACGGGGCTCCCAACTCCAGCCCCATCCACGCGAGCCGGACGCCGCTGTCGCCGCCGTCGGTGATGCTGCACGGCTCGCCCATCCAGTCGTCCTGCGCCATGGCCGGCAGGACTAACATACCTCTGTCCCCCACCCTGACCACCAAGAGCCCCGTCATGAAGAAGCCCCTGTGCGGCTTTTCCGCGGGGATGGAAATGCCGCGAGCGATGTTCCACCACAAACCTCCCCCCCCGCAGGGCCCTCCCCCCCCTCCACCGCCTCCCCCTCCGCCGCCGGCCTGCGCCCTCCAGAAAAAGCCATTGCCATCCGAGAAGGATCCCCTGGGCATCCTGGACCCCATTCCCAGCAAGCCGGCGAGCCAGAACCCCGTGATCGTGCCCCCGTCCCCGTTCCACGCGAGCGCCCACTCTCAGGTACCCGTGATGAATGTAAGCATGCCCCCCGCCGTCGTGCCCCTGCCCAGCAACCTGCCCCTGCCCACCGTCAAACCCGCCCACGCCAACCACGCCCCCCACGGCCAGAGGGTCCAGCACTCCGCCTCCACCTCCCTGTCCCCGTCGCCCGTCACCTCCCCGGTCCACATGATGGGCTCGGGCATGGGCAGGATCGAGGCCTCCCCCCAAAGGTCGCGCTCTTCCTCCACGTCGTCGGATCACGGGAATTTCCTGCTGCCCCCGCTCGGGCCGCAGCCGGCCTGCGGCGGCATCAAGGTCCCTCCCAGGTCCCCGAGGTCGACCATAGGCTCGCCCAGGCCGTCTATGCCATCCAGCCCTTCCACCAAGCACGATGGACTCGGCCAGTACAAGGACATCCCCAACCCGTTGATCGCTGGAATGAGTAACGTACTGAACCCGCCCAACAATGCAGTTTTTCCCGCTGCGTCGGCTGGAAGCGGTTCCCTGAAGAGTCAGCCTGGTTTGCTGGGAATGCCTTTAAACCAGATCCTGAACCAGCACAACGCTGCCTCTTTCCCAGCCAGCAGTTTACTGTCAGCAGCAGCCAAAGCACAGCTAGCAAATCAAAACAAACTCGCTGGTACCAACAACAGCAGCAGTAGCAACTCTGGACCCGTTGCCGGCGGCGGCAACTCCGAAGGACACAGCACTTTAAATTCCATGTTCCCTCCTGCTGCCAACGTGCTCCTCCCCACCACGGAAGGGCAGAGCGGCCGAGCAGCACTGAGAGACAAACTGATGTCTCAGCAAAAGGATCCTCTGAGGAAAAGAAAGCAGCCCCCCACCACGGTGCTGAGCCTGCTGAGACAGTCCCAGTTGGACAGTTCTGGGGTTTCCAAAGCCGGCTCCGATCTGATAAGGAAGCAGAGTCAAAGCTCCTTCCCCATCAGCTCCATGTCGCAGCTCCTGCAGTCCATGAGCTGCCAGAGCTCCCACGTGAGCAGCAATAGTTCCACGGGCTGTGGGAGCTCCGGCCCTGCCCTGCCCTGCTCTGGGAGTCAGATGCATTTCCCAGAGCCCGCCCTGAGCTCCGGAGGCCTCCAGACCCCGCTGGCGCCGGGGCTGCCCCTGCGAGGGGAGGGGCTGCACTGCCACGGCCCCGGCACCGCCTTCGGGCACGGCGCCAGCCCCGGCAGCACCAACCACCTGGCAGGGCTCATCAGCCAGATGCAGGCCGGGGGGAGCTGCGGGATGCTCCCGCAGTCGGGAATGGCTTTAGGAAACTCCTTGCACCAGAACCCACCTCAGGCGCGAATCCAGGCACCCTCGGCCCCGGCCATCGCCAACAGCGTCGGCAGCAGCTGCAACCAGAGCAGCCCTGAAGCAGGTACGTGGCCTCCTGGGGGGATTCCCCTGGGCTTCACCTCTTGGAAAGATGGGATGGCTGGGTTTTAAACGGGTTCCTTCCACGTGTCTGGTTTTTAAACTCGAGTTTCCCGGTGTGAGCAGTTGGTACTCACATGGGAAGGGAAGACTCCCAGCAGCTTTCCAGTGTCTGCAGGGAAGGCACGGAGGGAATCTTCATCAGGAACTGTGGTGACAGGGCACAGGGAATGGCTTCCCACTGCCAGAGGGCAGGGAGAGATGGGATACTGGGAAGGAATTCCTGGCTGGGAGGGTGGGGAGGCTCTGGCACAAGTTGGGCAGAGGAGCTGTGGCTGCCCCTGGATCCCTGGAAGTGTCCAAGGCCAGGTTGGAGCCACCTTGGATAGTGGAAGGTGTCCCTGCCCATGGTCCCTGAGCTCCAAGGTCCCTTCCAACCCAAACCAGTCTGGGATTCTAAACCAAACCAGTGGTAAACGAAAATACATCTCCCTTGTCGTGGACGAAATCATCCTTCCTGTGCCAGCTCCTGCTCCTCTGAACTTCCACACACGCTGCATAAATAAAATCCATACTCTTCTGAACATTCCCACACCTCTTTTGTCACTTCCCCAAATAAACTGGCTGTTTTTTTCCAGCATGCCCTGCTAGTCCAGCCCCAGGTTGGAGTATCCAGGTGGTAACACGTGTTCTTCGCTGCTGCCATTAAAGAGTTGGTGTTATCAGAGACACAGGGAGTCCCAAAATTTGCAAACCAACCCTTTCCAGGGCCAGCACAAGGAAATGCCGAGTCTGGGTTTGCCTTAATGGTGATAATTTTACATGAAGGTGATAATGAGATGGTTGGATAAACTGTGTGTTCAGTTGGAGGAGCGGAGAGAGAGATTTCCTGGTTTGCTCACCCCTGAAGACTTGGAGAGGAAATGGGTTTGCTGCCGTTCCTGTGTCTGGGGTGTTGAAAGATAGGAGGGAAAAAGCTCAAAAATGGGAATTTCACTGGGCTGTTTCTGTTTGAGCAAAGTATGGAAAGGTGGTACCTGTGTGAGTGACAACCCAGCTCACACCAAAGTGACCTCAAGGTGCAGTCGGTCTCTCAATAACCCAAGAACCTGACCTGAATTTCCTGAGCTTCCTCCTTGAAAGTGCAGAGTGGAATCCTATAAAGAACTCATCACACTGACACAGAGGAGATTTCCCGAGGCATTTTTCCTTCTGGAGACTTTGGCCTCCCTCCTGCACGGAGCAAAGGTCTGGCTTTGCACCAGGAGTTTCTCTTCCCTGTGCTTGTATTCCCAGGGATCCTCAGGAAAGCTGGGCAGGAAAAATGCCCCCCCCCCCCCAAACCCGAGCCATGCTCACCATGAGGACACCTCTTTTCTTCTCCTCAGATTGGGGCAGTCCCTAAAATTACACGGGAACCTTCCCCCTGAGTCCCCCCAGGGCTCGGGTGTGGGATCTGTGTCTCATCCACAGGCTGTGGAATTCCAGAGGGGGGCAGTTCTGTTGTGTTTTCCATGAACAACGTGGGAAGCCCCGAGGATTTTGTGTTAATAACGACTTTTAAAAATAAAAGTGAGTCTCCAGTCAGCACTCGGCTCTAGGGTGAAGATGGGAAGAGGAATATTGGGGATTATCCCATCCTGGGGTGTCAGTTTTGGTGCTGGAGCTGCTGAAGGCCCCTGCAAACTGAGTTTTCCAGAGCTGAGTAAGATGTTCTCAGGAACCTCCTGTTCACATTTCAGCTTGTGGCTTTTTTGTTTCCCCCTCTCCTCCCCTCCTCCCTTTGTTTTGAAGTCTTTTAATTGCTAAATCTGTGTCTGTGCCAGCACTCAGAGCAGCTCCTGCCCCAAAAATAGTTCCTGGGAGAAAAAAACAACCGTGAATCCCCACAATTAGCCCAGCTTTTAATTGGATTTTAACCACACGGCCCAAGCTTTGTTATCCTGGCTCTTGTCTTCTCCTTCCAGAGATAATATCTGCAGTTCCCAGGTAATTTTCAGTGGGAGTGTGATGGGATTTATTTAAGGTTTTTTTGTAGGATGTGTCACTGGGTGATGAGTTTTTATTGTAGGTTGGCTCATTTAGGTTTTTTCTTGCTGATAGGGAAGTTGAGGGAACCACAACAACCACAGCAAATAGAAATAAAGGTGATAAGGTGTGAAGATCAGAACATCAGAAGCATGAGGAGTTTACTTGGGCACATTTGGCAAGTAAAGGCTTTATCCTTTTCCCTGGAACTGGGGAAATGCGCAGGATAGAAACATTAAAATAGAATTAAACAGGGAGGAGCTTCTGTCCCTCTCCAGAGGGGTTTATTTTAATGCAGCCAGGATAACTGGGAGTGGAGCATGGCCTTGGAAAACAAGAAGAGGTTGGGGAGACTTGGATTTAATCCACTCAGTGCAGAGGGTCAGCTCAGGGGTGTTAAAAAACAGAACAAACCAAAACAAACTCCACGAAACACATTTTAAAAAAATAAATAAATAAAAAGAGAAGCCGAGTGAATTCCTGGCAAGATAAAAAATGGGATAAAAAATTTAATGGAAGCGGGGGTGCTCCTGGCTGTGTGGACAGCTGAGGAACCCAGGGTTGGGATGTGCAGGAAGGTGGAAGGGGCAGGAATTTCCAGGGCAGGCAGCAGAATTCCCAAGGGCGGCTTTGCAGGAGATCCCAGAGTTGGGCTCATCCCACCAGGAGCAGATCAGCAGGGCTGCTGGTGCCAGGGATGCTGGGCTGGATGGGGAGCAATTCCAGCCCTTGGGAATTCCCTTCAATCTGCTCTTTCACAGAAACATCCCAGGGAAATCAACCTGATATAGGCCCTTTCTTCCCTGAGAACAATCCTTCCTGTGCATCAAAGATGGAATTTTTTCAAATATGTCACATGAAGTGGTGTATTTGAATAAGTGAGCCTATGGATTTGCTTCCCAAAATGGCTGTGGATCTCCTGGAATTCCAGACTCAGTAGAACTTCCTGACTCCCGAGTTCAGAAGAGCATCTGGCACCTGTGTGGGACTTGTTGTGGCTGAGAAAAATTCCTTTTTAAACTGAAATAACCCCTGGACAGGATGCCAAGCAGCTCCTCCTCTGATTACAAAGCCAGTTGAGATGTCCTATGGATTTTGGGGCCATAGCAAATTCCAGAGGGGCTTTTCCCTGCTCGGGAGCCGTGACAAGGGATCGCTGCTCTTTCAATCTGCACCTTCTTTTCCTCTGTTATTATTTCTGGGGAGAGGAAAGGGATCCTTTTTCTATTCAAATGAGAGCTGTAGAGAACAGGGGAGAAATGTTCTCTGCTTTTTTAGACACAGATTGGGGTTTTCTTGTGTTGTTTTATCTCTCAAAATTCCAATTTCCCAGTAACTCCCAGTCTTTGATTTCACCAGACCCTTCCCTGTTTGGTGTTTAAGTGCCATACATACAATTTCCTAGGAATTTACAGTGATAAAAGTTAAAGGATTGGTGAAAAATAACAACAAAACAATGCAGAAAGGTGAGCTTTGTTAAGTGGAGAAAAACTGAATTAATTCCCTGGGGATTTCCTGTACATATTTAGCTCTTCACCATCCCAAAATATTCCTAAGTGGTACCAGTGGGCAAATCCAACCCTTTCCAGGGGGAGGAGGGGGGGGGGTTATTGAAGGAAATAATGCTTTTTATGGAATTTTTGGCAGTGAAGTGTTTCAGTGAAGTGCCACAGGTGAGCCCAGAAATCATGTAGGAAAAATTCAGAATTCAGAAGAGACAGGGGGAAGAAGAGCCAGCAATCAATCAGCTGTTAAATATTTTTTTTTTTTAAGCCTAATTTTAAGGATCTCTGTTGTCCTAAAAACAGTCTGGGGCTTTTTGCCCTCCCCCCAAGATTTTGGGGCCGACATTCCAGTTACTTTGTTGTAAGTGTGAAAAACCTGTGAGGATTGAAGGCACAGTAACACCCTGGGGTGTTCGTGGGCAGGGAGGTAAATATTTCACAGCAGAGCACATTCCACGAGGATGGGGAGCTGCACAGGAGGCAATTTCAGGTTTTTAACTGGCCCTGCAGGAGGATTTTTTTAATTTATTGGTCCGTTTTTTGTGTTTCTCCTGTGCAGGATCTCGATAAGGACAAGGACTGACAGCACTTGGTGCTCAAATGCTGAGTTATGGCTCCTTGGGAATTGGAATTGGAATTGGAATTGGAATTGGAATTGGAATTGGAATTGGAATTAGCCCCTGTAATAAAGGGGATGCCAGATAACCATCTGAAATGTTTTCCATTCCCAGCAGAAAAGGGGGAATACAGTGGTTAAAGTGCACAGCTCCTGGTTCCCAGTGCACAGGGAAGGGGTGGAAAACTCGAACAGGAGTGTGTCTGGGAGTTTGAATCCTGCGAGGTGGATTTTCCACCAGTCACTGCTCTGGGAAAGGAAAGGCCCTGAGAGTCACTGATTTAACAGCATCCCACCCTTGCAGACTCCGTGGGATGTAACTTGGGATGTTCTGAAAATGCCCAGTGGGAAACAAAGGTCCGAGTCCTTCACAGCCCTGTTTTAGGGATCGTTTTTATTCCACGAATTCCAGCAATGTGTTCTTGACCACTGAAATACTAAAATACGTAATGGGGAGTTTCTCACAGAGAAAGTAATTGCATCGTGTTATTTACAGTATTGTTTTCCCATTGGTGTGCTTCAACTGCAGTCTTTCAGGAAAACATGTGTGTAGTTATAACCAGGGAACCTTTTTTGTCCTGTTTTATTTATTTTGGAGGTGTTACCAGAGGCTCCAGCACCGGGTGACAGCAGGATGGGTGCTCTGGGAGGTGACAACCTCCTCTTGTAGTTGGTTTTCGTGGATCTGCACCCTTAGATTTGTCCTTGGCTTGAATAATCTCTGGGCAGTTTGTCCAATTAGCAGCTTTTAATTTGCTCTCCCTGCCTGGAAATGCACTTGTCATGAAACCCCTTAAGGAAAAAAAAAAAAAATATCAATATTTTGTACTTCAGCTTCGCTGAGGGGGTGTAAAGATACCCAGATAAACTTTATTACTCTTTCTTTGTAACTTTTTCCTGGTAAATTTACCCGGTTGCTCTTTGTTTTCATACCAAGTGATGGATTCGATTTGACCACCCCAATCCACGTTTTTTTCTGCATGAATCACTGGGGGCTGTGAATGCCAACAGAGCTGGATCAAAATGTATTTTACTCATTCGATTCATTGTGTATTTTAATTTGGGAGTCCAGGATAATACTTTGATAATAATTTCAAATCCAGAAGCCCACAAATCGAATGGAAACGGAGGCAGATCGTGTTTTCACACTCTTGCATCCAACATCATCCGTGGTGCCTCTCCCAGGTGGTTCATCCCAGACTGGGCCACAACTGGCTGCGTTACGTTCTGGTTGCTTTGGGGTTTGTGCTGATGGATGAAATCCTGGTCTATCCCCATCAAAGCCCTGCAGGGGAAGCACAAGTTCAGTAATTCCCGGCGGGGGTTTGGAGCAGCTGGTGGCAGATCCATCCGTATTTTTACGAGTACTCCAGTCTGGGTGCTCCAGGCGTGTTTTTTTCCCGCGTGTGGGTGTCACACACTGCTGGTTTGGGCAGCTGTGGGGCTTGGCTGTGCGTCCAGGAGGCAGAGCTCCGTTAACAGTCGGGTTGCTTTGTGTTCCAGGGGGTTCGGGGCCGTCCTCGTCCATCGCCATCGCCGGCGCCAGCCAACCCGCCATCACCAAGACGACCTCTGTGCTGCAGGACGGCGTCATCGTCACCACAGCGGCCGGGACCCCCCTCCAGCAGGGCCAGCTGCCCGTGGGCACCGAGTTCCCCTTCCCGGGCCCCGAGGCGCCCCTGCCCTTCGCGCAGAGCGGCGGTGCCGGCAGCAACCTGCCCCCCGCCCTGCACCCCAACCTCCTCAGCTCCCTGCCTCTCTCTCTGCCCGTCAATCAGCAGCAGCTCCTAAACCAGAACCTCTTAAATATCCTGCAGCCTTCGGCGGGAGAAGGCAAGTCCGAGGTCAACCTCAACCCTTTAGGTTTCCTCAACCCGAATGTAAACGCTGCGTTAGCTTTCCTCTCCGGTGACGTGGACGGGCAGGTGTTGCAGCCCGTGCACTTCCAGCTGCTGGCGGCCCTGCTCCAGAACCAAGCCCAAGCCGCTGCCATGCTCCCCGTGCCATCCTTCAACGTGACCATCTCGGATTTGCTGCAGCAGCAGAACCCCCCCGCGCCCTCGGTGGCGCAGCCGCCGGCCCCCCCCGAGCCCCTTCCCGACGGCTCCAGGGTGGAGACCCTCCTGCCCAACCCCATTCCCGGCTTTCCGGGCGCCGACGCGGCTCCCAACCCCCTGCTCCTGCCCGCCGGCTCCGCGCCCTCGGCGCTCATGGCCCTGAACCCCCAGCTGGTGGGGGGTGTCCTGAACTCCGCCGGCCACCCCGAGGTTTCCATTGCCACCTCCTCCCAGGCCACCGCCACCACCACCACCACCACGTCCTCGGCGGTGGCAGCTCTGTCCGTGTCGGCGCTGGGGGGTGGCACGGCCGTGGTGTCCATGGCAGAAACCTTGCTGAACATATCTAATAGTGCTGGGAGCGCTCCTGGGCCGGCCAAACTCAACAGTAACTCTGTGGTGCCACAGCTCCTTAACCCTCTGCTGGGGACGGGCCTGCTTGGTAAGTCCGCTTTCTCTCCCAAGTACCAAAGGAAATTTCAAATAAACAATAAATAAAGTGAAGAGGGTTGGGGAGGGGGAGCTTTGGATTCCAGTTTCTGTTTGCGAGAACTCCGCTTTGCCGTCCTTTCTCTTTGTGTGTGTGTGTGTGTTACAGCTTGTCTGTCGAGAGAGACTGTTCTGGTGGGAGATTTAAAGCAAATTCTGCTTGGAAGTTCTCAGCGTTTAACACTGATTTGGGGAATTATTAATTCTGCCACCTAGACCTGCTGTAAGCACGGGAAAATCGTGTGAGCACTTGTTTCACTGCTCAAGGAGCAGCAGCTCAGGAGCCTCCCTGGGTGCAGAGTGTGGCAGCACAGGGTTAGTGGGAGGAGCTGTGCAGGACCAACATCCCCCCCAAAAAAAGTGATTAAAAACCCCTTAAATACAAGATTTTTTTTTTTTTTTTGATCCTGGGTGATGATTCTTTGGTTCTTTTTACCAAAAATATGCTTTTTACCAAAATTAGTGCTTCTTTGTGTGATCTGTGCGTCTAATTAAATGGGAGGAATTAAATAGTGGCAAACAGCTGATAAAGTATTTTAACTTCCATATTTAACTTAGTGCCCCCATACTGACCTGCTGGTTGGCTACAGTGAACTCAGCCCTACCTGGCATTTGCCATGTAAAATACAACTAACTGACCAGTGATTCTGCAAATTCTGGAAATTTTAAGGGAAACGTGAGCTTTGAGTTAAAAAAAAAAAAGAGACAAACTAACAAATGGATATATTTTTAGCTTCAGTGTGTGGGAGGCTGGAGGGCGGCGGGGTTGTTGGACAGAGGCATTTGCAGCAGTCACTTCAAACTGGAGTCCAGGACATTCCTGCTGGAGCCTGGGAATGGCTGTGACTCGTGTGTGCCTGTGTTTGGGTTGCAGGTGACATGTCATCCCTCAACACTACTCTGAACAACCATCAGCTGAGTCATCTCCAGTCGCTCCTGAACAACAATCAGATGTTTCCTCCAAATCAGCAGCAGCAGCAGCAGCAGCAGCAGCAGCAGCACCTTCTCCAGGGCTACCAGAACGTGCAGGGCTTTCAGGGCCAGCCCCAAATCCCTGGCCCAGCCAACAACCCCAACCCCATGGCATGTCTGTTCCAGAATTTCCAGGTAGGAAGCCCAAGGAAAGCAATGTTCAAACAAACCTGCAGCTCCCAGGAGACGTCCCCCAGGGTTTGGGTTGCTTTGCTGATTAAGGCAACATGATCCGTATAAATTACATCTATACACTGTATACATTTTACTCTCTCGCTGTGGGTTTTGCAAATCAGTAACAATTTGATGGAAATTTTATACCTTTCCCTGCAGGAATCGGGTCCAGTTTCCTTGGAAAGAGTTATGCTGCATGCATTGAAAAAAATGTGCTATTTCTGTGCTGACAATGCTATGAATTTTTAGCAAAACTCTTTTCCATTGTGCAGGAATGATCATAAATTCCCATTCAGCCCATTCTGGTAATTCAGCAGTGAGAAATAAATACTGCAACCTCTTCACAGTAATTAGAAACTTAATGAGTTATTGTAGGTGCCTGTGTGTGCCAGTCCTCTTGTATTCCCACTGCAATTTCATGGAAGGGCTGTTGGATTCTGCAGCCTGAAGGAAACAGGGATTACAGTGAATGCACAGTGACAAACTGTGAATTTTGGGTAGCTTTAGCTGAGTGGTTTTTTGCACCAGATGCCCAGTTACAGAAATGATGGTCGTGGTAAGCAGTTAAAGGGGCTCTTGGAATGTTTTCCTGTTGTTCTTTGCAGTGTTTTGTTACTCAGCAGCGCCTGGGGGGCTGTGTCATGTCGAGGTGTCCAGTTTGATCCACAAGGCAAAGTCTGAGGGCAGTGGGTCTGATTTCCTCTAAATTAGGGGTTTTTTTTGTTTTCCCTCTGCCTTGTTCTGCGTTTAACTTCATAACTGATATTCAATCAAAATAAAATGGTGTCCTGTGAGGAACAGTCACCCTGGGCACCACCCTGGGGGTTAATTAAAATGAGACCGAGTTTGTCTGTTGAAGTAGTTGTGGAGTTGTGTCTCTCTGGAGACATTCCAACCCCACCCGGACGAGTCCCCGTGTCACCTGCTGCAGGTGACCCTGCCTTGGCAGAGGGATTGGTCTGGATGATCCCCAGAGGCCCCTCCCAATCCCAGCCCCTCTGTGATTCCATGGAAGGTTAATCCAGCCTATCACCTCCCCCCTTGTGCTCTCCTTCCCCAGGTGAGGATGCAGGAGGACGCCGCGGTCCTGAACAAGAGGATGATCCCGCAGATGGGAATGGCGCCGGTTCCCGAGGGCTCCGGCGCGATGCTCCCTCCCTTCCCGGAGCCCTCCTGTGAGCTGCAGCCCCGGGCAGAGCCCCCCCTGGGGCAGCAGCCCAAGGACGCCGTGCCCGCGGGCGGCCCGGGGGACCCGTCGGTGGACGCCATCTACAAGGCGGTGGTGGACGCGGCCAGCAAGGGGATGCAGGTGGTGATCACCACGGCCGTGAGCGGCACCACCCAGATGAGCCCCATCCCAGCCCTGAGTGCCATGAGTGCCTTCACAGCCTCCATCGGGGACCCCCTGAACCTCTCCAGCGCCGTCAGCGCCGTCATCCACGGCCGCGGCGTGGCCGTGCCCGAGCACGAGGGCAGGGCCCGGAGCGCCCGCGCCGCGCGCGGCCCCAAGAACGCCGAGCACGGCAAGAACCCCGCCGAGGGCGAGGGCTACGAGTACTACAAGGCAGCCAGCTGTAACACCCCCAAAAAACAGTGGGAAGGGGAGCAGAGCCCGGCGGGCGAGATAAGCAGGTGGAAGTGCGAGGAGTTCCTGGAGCACTCCCACCTCCACGGCAGCCCCTGCCACGAGAGGCCCAACAACGCCTCGGCCCTGCCCCTGCTGCCCGCCGAGCAGCACCAGCCCCTGGCGCCGCAGAGGAACTGCCAGGGCGACAAGGCGCTGGAGGAGAACTTCAGGTATAACAATTACAAAAGAACTCTGCTGAGCTTCAAGGACAGACTGGAGAACACTGTGGAACGCTGTGCACACATCAACGGGAACAGGCCGCAGCAGGGCAGGGCCTTCGGGGACCTGCTGAGCGCTTCCAAACACGACCTGGGTCTGGAAGAGCAATCCCCCAGCTCCTCCAATAGCTTGGAGAGCTCCCTGGTGAAAGACTACATCCATTACAATGGAGATTTCAATGCCAAAAGCATTAACGGGTGCGTGCCCAGCCCCTCGGATGCTAAAAGCATCAGCAGCGAGGAGGACCTGAGGAACCCCGACTCGCCTTCCTCCCACGAGCTCCTCCACTACAGGCCAAGGACGTTCAACGTGGGCGACTTGGTCTGGGGCCAGATCAAAGGACTCACTTCATGGCCTGGGAAGCTGGTGAGGGAGGAAGAAGTTCACAATTCATGTCAGCAGAACGCTGAGGAGGGGAAGGTATATTTACATATCTCTGCACATCTCTCTCCCTCTCTCTCTCTCTCTCTCCCTGCACGTGCCCGCCAGAGCGTCGGCATTTTAGTCTCGGGCTCTTGTTTTAGCAGCACAGTTTGGGTTTTTTTCCTCACCTGTAGCTCGTAGGACCGAATTCCCCCGTGGTTCCCCCTAAGAAACTGCTGCCAGCTGCCCTCAGACAGGTTAGATTTGGGATTCCCTAAATCTGCTGCGCACAGAAAAGTGGTGTTACCGAGAAAAGGCTCTCGCTTCCGTTGTGTGTTCAGTCAAGTGTGTGGCTGTGTCAAAACCTGGGGTGAAAATACCTAAAAGTGTTGGAAGTGCAGAAAAAGGAGAAGTGATCCAATCAGCAGGAGGAGTGTGGGGTAAGGGAGATCTTGCTGGTTGGCGCAGAGGAAAGGCACACGCGTTTTCAGCGTCTCCAGCATGAAAGGAGGTTTGGATCATCTCTCAGGAGTGAGGAAATTTGCTCTTTCCTGCTGAAATCCTTTTTTATTGCGTTGGCAGATCGTGTGCTTGTTGGGGAATAGCCAGAAAATGCACTTATCAAGGAGTTATTGGTTCCCTTATTACAGTAAATATTTCCAAGTCTGGTCCCCACTACTTGGATAACATTTTATCTTTGTACTTCTTATAAAATAATTCATTCAGGAGAGCTTCAGTCTCCCTTTGCAGGTGACAGCATTCCAGAGCTTGTCCTGGTGCAACTCCATCCCAGCCCAAACCAGAGCTCAGTCCTTGGGATGGTCACACCCCCAAATTTCCAGACAGTTTGTGCAGTGTAGGCACAGGAGAAGACCCCAAATTAGTAAAGCTTAAACAAAACTGGAAAAATCAGAGGTGCAATATCCCCGTCCCCTGTAAATTAGGAGCACAGTTCCTGCTCTCCCATATTCCCAGTGTTTATGTATTAACTTCCAGATATGTATCCATATTTCTGACTGGTATAATTGTGCTTGGTACAACCGAAGAGTTTTGGGGTTTAGAACTTCTGTGAAGAGGTGAATTCATTTTGATTTCCGTTCCTTGGCCATCTCGAGTCTCCTCCCCGGGTTTGGGGACGCTGGAGTGTGTTGTTGCTCCGTGCAGAGCTGCCTCCTTTATTGCTGGGGGGGGTTTCTGTGCATTCCGTGGATATTGGGTGAGAGGAATTCAGTGGCACCCGTTCCACTGAGTGCTGAAGCACAAAAAACAGGGAAGCGAAGCCTGGGAATGCTCATAACAAGGTACCGCTTGAAGTCCCTCGCCAGGAAGTCGTGGATCACCTCTGGCATCAGAAGACCTTTAATTGAATTGGTTTAAATTTAAAAAATGATTTAAAAAGTGTGTGTGATCGTCCCCATCGAGAAGCACAGAGCGAGCGGCCACTCCAGAGGGCAGGAGTTTGGGGTGAAAGGTGGGATAAAGAGGGGAGGGAAAAAACCCACACCAAACCAAGAGAAATAACCTGGAAAGCCAAAAAGAAACTACCTGTGAAACCAAATGGTCTTTTCTAGTCTTACAGGTGTGACTTACCCCCCCCATCTGTGTGTATAGTTTAGTGTTGCAGTGGTTTATTGTTGCTCCTGATTCTCTTATTACTGGTTGTTATTACTGATATTAATAATTATTAATTATTACTCTGGCAGGCTTGCTTTGGATGCCCTGTTTTGTAGTAATTTGATACTTCTTTAAAAAAAGAAAAAAAAAAAGTGGTTTTTAATGTGTAACCATCACAAAATGCCAATAATGAGACACCTTTTTTGTTGCTGAACACAAGTCCTTTGTTACCCAAACATGATATTAATTCTTTATGATCTTATTTCCCCCTGAACCTTCTGGTCTGTCTCGTGGCAGGTGTTTGCAGCCCCCAGCAGGTTGTTCCTTAGGCACACGTGGAAAGGGATCATTCCCTTCCTTAGGAAAGCTGCCCCAGTAGATTCCGCTTCTTCCCTGTGCATTTGTGTCCTTCCAGAATCCAGCGAGGAGAGGAATTACTGGAAGTATTTGCATCAAAAGTGAGCACAGTTTTAAGGGGGAAAACGCTCCAGTTTGTGGCATAATTGAACTGAATTCCTGCAGATCGAGTTCTCTCCTCCCCACGTGCAGATTCCTCCGTTAGTGGCTCCTGGAATTATTCCCCAATTTCATCAGCACGGGCCTGAGTCCAGATTTGGGGAATTGGGTCTAAACTTGTATTTTTAGAGTTTTTTGACAACCTGCTCACTCGTTGACTTCCCCTTGTCACTCCAGACATCAGTCCCGTGGGGAGTATAAATTATTTAGGAACTGAAAAGGCTGAGCTGGGAGGGAATTTGCATTTCTGTCTCATTTTTGGGTTGTGCAAACTTCATAAATTTGTATTTGTGGAGTTGATTTTCCCGTTGTCAGAACACAAAGGCTGTACTTTTAACAAAGCAAATGCTGGGCCGGGTCCTTGCTGAGTTAAAAAATACCCATCAAGGTGCAGCAAAGAGAAAAAAAAAGAGTTCAGCCACTGCTTTTCCTTAGGGTGGTGTGCCATAAATCCTGATTTGGTGGCTTCCACAAGCAGAAATTGCTTGAGCCAGATGAAAATAGTTAAGTGGGCTCCTGTTTTGAGAATGCGAATGTTGAAATCGCAGAGATGATCTAATTAATTATCCTCTTGCTTGTGTTGCTTGCACTGGGCTGAACTGGTACCCACTGCTTAAAATATCCACAATTTAAATGTCCAGTTCTGCTTGGCCCTTGCCCAGATCCATCCCTGACTCAGCAGGTTGCTAAAGGATGTTCTTAAACTGAAAAAAAAAAAAAAAAAAAATTAACAGATTTTAGGACAAACAAACAAATTTTTAGCGAGGAGCCGTGGATTCCTTAAGGCACAAATAAAGCTTTTCCTCTGGAATAGGAAATGGATTTGGCCTTAAATTTTCCACCCAGAAACGGGAAGGGGATGGAAACACTTGGGTGTTGATCAACACTTGGGTGCTGATGATTCCCCTCAGTTTGGTCTCCCCAGTTTTGCCTGGTGGTTTGAAACCCTAATATTTATAAATATGAGTGAGGGGGTGGCAGAGCTGCTGCCCCTCCCTGGTTTTTGGGGCTGAATCCCAGAGAAGGTGGTGGTCGATGCTCCCAGGTGTGGGTAACGTGCTTTGGTGTTCATCCCTTCACTCAGGTGGAGCCAGAGAAGCTGAAGACACTAACAGAGGGGCTGGAGGCCTTCAGCCGAGCCAGGAAAAGGAACAGGAAGTGAGTAAATCCTCCTCCTTTCCCGGGAAAACACCATCACACTGGGTTTTTGGTTTTTTTTGTTAATTCTCTGATTCCTCGTGCTGGTTCTGAGAGCCACAGGCTCACCCCAAGATCTGGGATATCAGGATTTTTGGTGCCTTTCCTCACAGTTCCAGGAGCCCCTGTGGAATGTCGTCCTGCTTGTGGGAGCTTTGTGGGGCAGGGGGGGGAATTCCTGATTTTCTAGTTTTTACCCAAAAATTGAGCTGTGGTGACCAAATAACGCTTTTTAACCAGCTCTGCCCTTCTCTCCTCCCTCCTGCCCCAGCACAGGTGTGTTCAGAGAAACTCCCTTTTTATTCAGGTGGTTTGTAGGGGTTTATTTGGAGAAATTCCCGTTATTTCCCGTTGCTGGGCAGCGTTTTAGGATTTGGGGGGGCCTGGCTGTGCAGAGCTCTGGGTCAGGCCTGGAGGAGCTGGGGGGGGTTTATCTTCCTTTTTAGCTTTTAATGAAAATACAAGGATAGAAACAACGTGGGACAGCAAAATACTGGGATACGAAGCATCAGGATAGAGAAAAACAGGAAAATTTTTGAGTTTTTGGGGAAAAAAAAACCCTCTGGACGTTTCTAAAAGGATGACAAAGCAGAAATTGGGATTGGGTTTGTTCTGTGGTGCTGCTGCTTATTTGCCGTGGCAGGGAAAATGTGTCCCTTAAATCCATGTGAGAATTCCAGGTCAGTTCTCAGTGGGCTGAAAGGGATTAAATCCTTCTCCCTCTTCCCCTCCTTTTAAGGTGTGAGCTTTGCTTTTATTTAGATGTCACTTTTATACTTAAGAGAAGTGATTTTTTTATGCCAAATAGGCAGTTCTGGGGGTGGTTTCCTCCAGGATCATCCCTATTTAAAGTCAGAAGGATATTTAACTTTTCTTCAGCCATTCCAACACGAGCTTCCCTTCCCATAATATCATCCAGAGGTCTGACCTTCCTCCCTGTGCTCCAACAGCCCGGGGAGGCTCCACAGTTCCAACATTCCCAAGGAGTTTATCCTTCATTTTTAAGTTTTTTTTGTGTGTGTTATTCACAATTACTGACGCTTTCTTTCCCCCCCTCCTAGGAGTGGAAAGCTAAATAACCATTTAGAAGCTGCTATACACGAGGCCATGAGTGAACTAGACAAAATGTCTGGGAATGTAAGTTCCTTTCCCTCTGCAAATCCTCCCCTTTCCCTGTGTCCCTGCTCCTGTCCCCGAGGGAAGGTTGGCTGGGCTGGTTCCTGCCACGTTCTGTTGCTCTTTCCTGCAATAATGGGGAATTTTCAGTGTTTCTCCTGCATTAAAGGACATTTTGCAAATGTCAGGCTTTTTTTTGACAAGAGGTTTCCACACCGGAGCTTGATAATTTGGGATCGGTTCCAGTCCCACTCCTATTCCAGGGGGGTTTCTCTGACTAAGGACTCAAAATCAGGCTCATTTGTTTCTCAGTTTGAGGAGAAACCACCTTTGAAAGGATCATTCCTTGCATGTAAAACCCTTGGAATAAAGTTTTCCTCATGGGAAATCAAAGGTATTGCCCTGAAAGGTAAGTTTTAAAAACAAATATTTCTAATATCACATCCAACAGTGGGTTTTCTTCCCTAATTCACTGTTATTATCTCAGCCCAGAGTCCTCCTGATGTATATTTTAGTTTATACAATGTCCTTATCTTCATATTTAATTGCAATTTTATTGGAGGCACTTAAAAATTTAAAAAAAAAAATCTACCATAGCACGTGCAACCTCCCAGATCTTATAATTAGTAATTAATTATGCAAATAATCAATTGAAACATGTTTGAACACGGGGAATAAAAGGCCTTTTTGCTGATATTCAGTGCTCAGAGCTGAAGATGTGTGGGTAGTGTGTGTTTGGAAGTGAGGGTGACACCTCAGGGGAGCTTCTGGAGGAGAAAAAAGGAAATTATATATGTATATATCAGAATATTCTTTTTCCTTTATATGCATATATAATCAATATATTATATATATTATATATGTGCATATATAAGGATATAGATTTTTTCTTTGTATATATTTATATTTAATATATATTATATCCTTTACAGTTATAATAATGACTGCAGCACAGAGCTGATTTCAGAGCCACCAAGGAATATTAAATAAGTTTTCCCGTAGCTTTTAGAGGCTGCTGGAAGTAAGAACCAAATCAAATGTTTTGCTTAAAGTTCTGAATTTTAGAAAGTGGGATTTGAGCTTTGATTTGATTTTGCCTCCTGTCTTTGGAAGGAGCAGGAAAGCAGGATCTGGGACGGTTAAATCGGGGAGATGGGGTCGGGCTGGACCCTCCTGCTGACACCTTTTCCACGTGTAAATCCAGGAACACTGAAAGCTGCTGGGCATTGTCACTGCTGGGGGTGGATTTGCTGAGCTGGTGTCTCTGTCACCCCAAACTGATGCACCTGGGTGTCAGGGCAGCCTCTTGATTTATATTTTAATTATCCAGGCCCGGAACTCGTGCTCAGCCTTCATTTCCATACAGATCATCCTTCCTAGAAACACTCCCAGGAATCAGCACTTCTCTTTTTAGTGACTTGCATTTTTTTTTTTTTCCAGCTACTACAGCTCAGGCATCAGTCAGTTGGAGATGAAAACATGTGGGATCCTCAGCTGCAGGAGGGATTCCTGCTGGCAGAGCCAGAGCAGAGGCAGGGAATGTCGGGGGGCTGGAGGAGCTGGGGAGGGCCCGGGAGCTGCTGCAGGATCAGATCCTGCTCTTGGGAAGCTGCAGCTGCTGCCAACAGATGGTGGTGGTGGAATTCCACACCAGGCCCCAGCCTTCCTCCTCCTCCTCCTCCTCCTCCTCTCCCACTTGTTTTGCTCCCAGATCAGTCCAGCACTTGGCTCAGAGCTGAGCGTTCGCTTTTAAACATGGGATGAGGAGTTCGCTGATGATTCCCTAATAACACAGCACCCTGGGCTGGACTGCCCTGGCTTTCCCTGGCGTCAGCATTTCCTCACCTGCTTCCCCCCTCGTGGCCCTTGTCCTGACAGGGTCTCCAGGTTTGCCAATGGCAACCTGACAGGGTTGCAGTCTGACAGAGCTGCAGGTCCTGGTTTTGTGGTTTCCCAGCCACTGCACCTGCAGCCTTTTCCTCCCAGTTCCTCAAAGTTCCTGAAGTTCTTTAGCTGAGGCTCCTGTGCAGCTGGGAATTATTAATCCCTGTTTGGTCCCAGCCCCACAGTCAACCCCATAGCTCCTTCACCCTCTCCCCTCTGTCCTTTGCTAACCTGTGGATATCCTTGTTTTTAGGTCCACCAAATCCCGCAGGGAGACAGACAAGTGAAGCCTCCAAAACTCAAGAGGAGGAAGATCTCCAGATAACATTGAATGTCTTTGTTACTGGTCCAGTGCTTGTGGAAGTGAACACTGAGTCCATCTGTAGGTATTGCTCTAGGCTGGTGCATCACTATTTATGTGGGGACAGCTCGATGCCAGCGGGGCACACGCCGGGCAGTGGGACAAGATTTGGGATGATCAGGAGGGATAGAAGTTGCTGGAGAAGCCAATCAGAAATCTGGAATGGTTGCAGTAACGATGTCAGATGATTACTGAAAAAAAAAAAAAAATTTTTTTTTTTTTCTATGATACTAAAAATTGTGATTATAAGAAATAGTCCAAATGTTTCTGAGAAATTTTCCTTGTGTATATAGATAATACAGAATTTCCTGGTGATATCTGAACTGTAAATATTGTACAATATTGTCATGTACAAGCGTACCTAATGCACACTTTATCTTTTATTGTACAAAAAATAGTGTACAAAATTCTTTGGTTTCTATTGAGTACACATACAAGAGACTACCAGTGTAAAGTGATAAATAAAAATACAGCCTAAATGCTTTTATATGATAATGTAAAAGATGCTGTTTTTGTATTTAACAGCAGAGAGAAGGCATGATTATGTAATACCTTAATTCTGACATCCCCTTCACGCCACTGAGTGTTCATGGATCCTGTCTGTTTGGAGTGGACCGTGCCTGGAAGTGCTGTTGCTCCACGCAGGTCCCCGCCAGGAGAGCGCAGGTTCCTCCTGGGATGTGGGATCAGAGCTCTGATGGAGAATCCCGAGGCTGCAGCCATCGGTTGCGTTTGCTTTCCGTAGCTTTTCCGGTAGGACGCTGTAGGTTTGGCCGAGGAGGAGGAGGAGGAAGGAGCAGTAGGAGGCCTGTTCTGGTCGAGCATTTCCTTAGGTGAGGTCTCAGAGCCACCCGAGGAACCAACCGGTCGATTACCCCCCCCCACCCCGGAACACTGACCCCCCCTAGATCGTTAATTAGCTGAAAGTCTCTAAGTTCATTAACCCTGCAGGGGGGCAGAGGCCCTGCCTGGAGGAGGGAGCAGTGCTGAGTGCAGTTGGTGTGGCAGCAGGATGGAAGGGCAGTGCTCTGGAAAAGGCAGTCCCGGCATCCCTCCCTCAGTGTTACAACACAAAAACAAGTTAAGGGTGGCTTAACAAAACTTACGAGCAGCGGTGATTTTTGTCAGTATTATGTAACATATCAGATTTATTTTATTTAAAAAGAATTATTTATACCATTAACAGATTCTTATATATATTAATGTGGCTGAAATGCGCAGGTTAAGTCTATTAACCAAATTATTTATGTTATATTAAGTGAGAAATGTGAAACCTATGTAGAAAAGAAGAAGAAATTAATACACTACAGATTGAAAAGTCTAAAGCT